GGGGGGGGGTTAAAATGTGTTTGCCCATGAAATTTTATAGATTTTTTGAAAATGAGTTTTTCAAAAATCACTTTTTAAAATTTTCAGAAAAAACTTTTTTCCCCACTAACAAAACTGTAACATTTTTTCAAGTGAAATACATGTTCAAATAATTTCAAATTCCAAATACCATTTTTCAACTTAAATCCAGATACCAATTTTTTTTCTTTTCAAAAATTATAATTTTTTGTTCAAACGCCTACTAAGTTTGGTCGGGAGCCGTTTTGAATTTCAAAAAACTTCTGGGGCAAACTTAAAACATAGTAATAAATAAGGTCAAATTTTGGCTCCAAACCAAACAGAACCTAAACGGCTATTCTCTTTGGCGATTCTCCCTTTTTCTAACAGAAAAATTCTGGTTTTTCAAGATCATGTAAGTTTGGAATGAAATTTAACATCATAATCACGATAAGCAGTGACTAGAAGTAATTTGTTGAAGTTTCACTGTTTTCCGGTGTGATTTTAAGCCTTTTACACTCGAAGAGATATACAAGTGTGGAGCTCTAATTTTTTTTCATTTTTCTGAATTTTTGTTGTTCAATGTACGTTTATGCGTTATTTTTTTCTACTTATTTGCACACTTTTTGTCTCCAATGTGCATAACAATCATGGCAAGAACGAAAAACAAAATTAAACGGGATGAAATTGGAGATGAAAATAGTATCAGAAACAGCATATCGGGCAAGAGCAACAGACATTCAAGGAATAATCAGAAAAAATCGAGATTAGATGTCGAAGAAATAGATATTTTTTCTCCGTTGGCTGAGTTTAGTAATAAACGCAAAAAGATTATTAATACACTGATAAAAGAAGAAAATGATGCTGTTGAACCAGCTAGACCTCATAACAGAGTTTAAAATTAGTTGTTTTGGCCACTTTGTGAAACTGACAAAATAATGATTTAGATTCAGTGGTCAAATGGTTCATTCTCTTCTTCTTCGTTAAGTTAGAAACATGGGCATACGCAGAAATTTTGTAAGCGGTGTCGAAAATTATAGAAGAATAGGAATAAATAACTTTAATTATTATACTTCTAAACAAGAAATAGCCTTAATCTATTGGCTTTGTTGAGTCATAAGTTAAAAATGATTGTGAGTTCAATTCTATTTAATCAAAAATTTTAACCACAGAGGCTCATGCTAGTTGAGATTCGAACTTGACCTCTTAGAGCAAAATCAAGTACATAACCGAAGCGCCAAGAGACAATATGTGTTAAGTGGTATTATTTTTTCTACTTATCCACTTCTTCACACTACTAATAATATATATTTAGCAGAATTTTCCGATGAAACAATATTGCATGATACCACTTCGTTAAACATGCATCCGCCACTGGTTAGAAAGTAGAGGGAGTGCCCTGTTGTTTTGGGATGAGGGAGTATGCATTGATAACAAGATTGAATTTTCCAAGGAGAAGAAGATATTAAAGATCCTGAAGGAACACGTTAATCTAAACACATTAGATAGCGCGTAAATCATAAAACGAGAACTTACTTGTTCTTCGTGAAGCGGAAGCGAAAACAGATGAACCGTGGCTGGAATTACTGGTCGGCGGTGGTTGTCACAGTGCGTTGGAGCAACCCCCAATTCCACAGTCTAAACCCTAACCGAAATTGAGAGAGAAGAGCGTAGAAAAATACTGCAGAGAGTCTTTTTAATGTACACACTAAATGTACTTATATAGGGAATATTAGGGTTAACTAATAACCCTATTGGGCCTTAAAGCACCCCTTATGGATGGACCCAATTTTCCTACATCTCCTACTCACACATAATGAGAATGCTCATCTAGCCTGAGAAACATATTCTCAACTCATCTCCTTAATTATTCATACAGGGAAGTAGACCGTGTGACCAACATACTGTGAGAGCTAAGTGCTATACATCTGTTAGGAGTATATAGCCTCTCATCGAGCGCAAACTTGCAAGTAGATCATAAAGTATGCAGTACCCTAGATCATGTAAATCACATTTGATATAGTCTCAAAATCTCATATATCATTATTTCTTGTATTCTCAATCATAACGCATAAGTTATAATTGGTGCACCAGTGAATACAAATAAATGAGATTCCATCAATGATCTTCCTCTTCTCACGATTCCCTTAACATTAGTATGACTGCTTTTCTAGTTATGCTCCGCTAGACCGAATCTGTGTCCATGGTCTTTTGGAAACACACTAAGATAGCTAACATCACAGTAAGTCTCAAGTTTCTGATCAGAGTCTCTAAGGGTACAAAATCTTGAGCCATCATAAAACTTTGGGTCTCACACAACAATAACTTGAGAATGGACTATGTTAACCCAATTGGTCGACATTAGCACACATGGTATGAAACATGTGCTACAACATTTTCTCCTTTTTCCCAAGGAGCGTATGTCTTTATCTCATAAAGAATGTTGTACAAATGATATTTAGATGCCATAAGTATCTAAATTTGAGTTCTTTGATCTACAATATCATTTTTAACTCACATCTGGCTCACAAAGTAGATTAGGTGAACATTTTTCACCCTAATGACCTTATGTCATTGTTTAAGCGACATTCTAATTTTAAGCGAATAGCTCTCAAATTATCCTTATGATAATTTTGCTTAAAATCATGTCTCATCTCCTCACATCACTAAGATAAGGAGGTGGTTTCTTGTGTGAGAAGGCCAACCTCATGTCTACTCGATATACTTATAAAAAATGAACAATGAATGTACATAACATTCAACAATAAAAATATGTATATATGTAAATCAACTTTATTGGTAATCAAAGAACATCAGTTTGAGAACACGGGAAAATAAATAACAAAATAAAGTATCTCAGAGTCTACGCAAGCCTTGAGACCTAGTGTGTCTCACAAATGTATCTCTAGACAAAGGCTTGGTCAATGGATATGCTAACATATCTTTTGTAGACACATACTTCACATTCACTACCTTGCGTCTAACCATGTCTCTCGCATAGTTATACTTGATATCTATATGTTTGGTTTTACAATGAAACTTTGGGTCCTTGGTGGAGGATATTGCAGCCTCACTGTCACAGTAGACTAATACTGGTTCAGTATTTTTAGCAATATCTAACAAGTGCTCCAAGAACTTTTTCAACCAAACAACTTCTTGTGCTGCTGATGCGAGAGCCACGTATTCGGCTTCCATTGTAGATAGTGATACATATGATTGTTTCTTACTACTCCATGATATGGCCCCATCACTGAGTAAGAATACATATCTTGAGGTAGACTTCCTCTCGTCTAGATCTCCTCCATGGTCAGCATCACTGTATCCAACTAATCGCAGATCCTTGCCGCCTTGATAACAAAGGGCATAATCAACAGTTCCCTTAAGATATCTCATGATCCTCTTTACTACTTGTCAATGTGCTAAACCTGGGTCGGTCTGATATCTACTTACCAAGCCAACTGCTTGACAGATATCAGGTCTAGTGCATACCATAGCATACATTAGACTTCCGACTGTGCTCCTATAAGGAACTCGACTCATTCTTTCTATCTCTTTAAGAGTCTTAGGACACATCTGACTTCCCAAGGTATGGCCTTTACTGATAGGAGTTTCAACTGGGCTACTATTTTGCATATTAAATCGCTCAAGAACTTTTCTAATGTAATTCTCTTGTGAGAGATACAATAGTTTCTTTGGACGATCTCTTGCAATCTTAGGTGCAAGAATATATGCAGCTTTACCCATATCTTTCATCTCAAATTGGGATGATAACCATGATTTTATCTCAGTTATAAACTCCTTATCATTTCCAGCTATAAGTATGTCATCTACATACAATGTTAAAATCACAAGCTTGTTTCTTGATTTCTTTGTATAAACGCAATGGAATTCATCCATCATGGTAAAACCATTGGATATAAGAACATTTTGAAAGCGTATATACCATTGCCTTGAAGATTGTTTGAGGCCATAAATAGACTTCAAAAGTCTACA